GCTTGACAGTATGTAAAAAAAAAAATGAAAAAAAACATAAATAATAATATAAAAAAAAAAATAAAAATGTAAAAAAAGTTATAATTTTTGGTTATAAACTAATTTGGGTTATTTTTGTTTTTACTAAAAAGATAACGGAATACATTTTGGCCAAGATTTATGATGAAAGATTATTTATTTGCAACACTTTTTTTTCAAAATTTTTTTGACTTTTTCATTTACATAGCAAAAAAATAAAAATCCCAGCGGTGAATAAATACCCAAAAAGAAAATAAAAAAGAAAATACCAAAATAAATCTTTATCCGTCTAAAAGAAATGCAAAAAAATTCATAAGGGTACAGTGTTGCATGACCGCGCAATTGTCATTCAAAGTGTGATAGCGCTGAAAGCTGAAAATTGGCCTGGACAGGAAGGGGGAACAATGAAAGTGTCCGGACTGGAAGTGGTTAAGACCGTATGAGAATTAAGGGTCTCTTCATGGGATTGTAAGGCGTTACATTAACACGCCATTGGTGGTATTTTCAATCTCTTCCATACACACACAGATATCTTGTTTAAGATCAGAGATTAAACAATACGTTTCACATAAAGTTCAAAATCCTCTTTTGTAGGGAGAGATTTGATGTAAGTTTGTAGGACCGCATGTGGGACTGCAGGTCCCAGCCATCTTCAGAGCAGAGAGATGCTGGGGATCGGCTGCGTGGCGTCTGTGTGCCCTGCAAATTAATGGCCGGATCCCCTTGTGGAGAGATGGAGCCCCAAGGGCTTACCTGGCCGCCATCCTGGAGCCCAGAGTCCCTGGGGGGCGAGGAGGAGAGAGGTGCCGGTGGCATCCCGCCAGCCAACGCGCCTGAGGCCTCAGCCGAGGAGCGGGTCAAGAAGCGCTGCAAATTGCCGCTGGACTGCCCCCCGTTATAATTCGGGGGGGTCCGGTGTTGATGCTTTGCCCATAATGAGGGCGGAGAAGATAGCCTGCGAGGGAGAAGAAGCCTTAGTGGAAGGTCCGGGCCAGGAGCAAAGCAGATGTGCTGCCTAACAAAAATCTGAAAAATTATACCAAAATATTGAAAAGTATTTTTAAAAATATATTATTTTTTAAATATAGTCTTCAGATTTTTTTGTAACATATATAAAAGTAATTTTTTATATTCTTACATACATTTGTAAATGCATTCCATAAAAATGTTGATTTGTATTTTTAAAGACATACAGTACATTTCAAATATACTGCATGTCTTTAAAAAATACAGATCTACATTTTTTTGGAATGCATTTACAAATATATGTAAAAATATATGTTAAAATAACTTTTTTATATGTTAACAAAAATCTGAAAAATATACAAAATATATGAAAAATAATTTTAGAAATATATTATTTTTTAAATATAGTCTGCACATTTTTTTAACATATAAAAAAGTAATTTTACCATATTTTTTACATATATTTGTAAATGCATTCCATTTTTTAAAAATGTAGATTTGTATTTTTAAAAGACGTACAGTATATTTGAAATGCATTTTTAAAAAATATTTTTCAAATAATTTGTAATAAAAATGCATTATACCATGCGGTATATATATATATATATGATGAGAGAGAGAGATTTGTATTTTTAAAGGCACACAGTAATTTCAAATATACTGTATGTCTTTACAAATACAGATCTACATTATTTTGGAATGCATTTACAAATATATTTAAAAATATATGTTAAAAAAACTTTTTTTATATGTTACCAAAAATCTGAAAAATATACAAAATATATGAAAAATAATTTTAAAAATATATTACTTTTAAATATAGTCTTCAGATTTTTTTTTATATATATATATATATATATATATATATATACACACACACAAACTGCATGTTAAAACGCATTTTTATTACAAATTATATGAAAAATATTTTTAAAAATGCATTTCAAATATAATGTACATCTTTAAAAAAACAAATCTACATTTTTTTGGAATGCATTTACAAATATATGTAAAAATATATGTTAAAATAACTTTTTTTATATGTTAACAAAAATCTGAAAAATATACAAAATATATGAAAAATATTTTTAAAAATATATTTTTTTAAATATAGTCTTCACATTTATATATATATATATATATATATATATATATATATATATATATATATATATATATATATATATATATATATAATATATAAATATATACACACACACTGCATGTTAAAATGCATTTTTATTACAAATTATATGAAAAATATATTTTTAAAAATGCATTTCAAATATACTGTACATCTTTTAAAAATGCAAATCTACATTTTTTGGAATGCATTTACAAATATATGTAAAAAATAGTATGTTAAAATGACTTTTTTATATGTTAACAAAAAATCTGAAAAATATACTAAAAAAATAAAATATATAATAAAACTTAAAAAAGAATATATATATAAAAAAAAAATAAAAAAAAAAATTTTAAAAAAAATAAAAAAAAAAAAATAAATAAAAAATAAAAAATAATAAAAAAAATAAAAATATAAAGGTGGCGGAAGTGCTAAAATTTAAAAAAATTGTGCCGCAAAATAAAAATAAAAAAATGGCAATCTGTGCTCCTATGAAAGGCAGCAATAACAACCTAAACATGAAGCTGTTTGACTTTTTTTTTCACACTACGATTTTACATGATGGCAGCCCATGACACTGCAAACCTTTTTCTGTGCTAGTTATAAATTGATGGGAGTAGCTGCCATTTGTTTCTTGGTTAGAATTACAACACTGAGGGTCCATAGTGCCTTTAAGCGATTTATAGCCCATTGAAGGTAATCTAAGAGGCCACCACTTAGTTTGCATGTATTCTTATAATTTATAATAAATGCTATATATATGTCCTCATAGTTGGATAGTTTAGTTTAAACAAATTTAAACTTAGGACCGCACTTTCGCAGGGTACTCGACTTGGCGATGTGGTTTATAAATCTACATGTATCCCCACGTATAATAACTATTAAAACCTCTTTTTTATACTTTAAAATGAATTCAGTCGGACACTTTCACCCCCTTCCTGTCCAGGCCAATGTTCAGCTTGCAGTCAGCGCTATCACACTTTTCAATGAAAATTGCGCGGTCATGCAAAGTACTGTAACCCATATAATTTTTAGGCATTTTTTTGAGACAGCCATTAAAACTTTATTTTGGTGGTATATTATTCACAGCACTTGGGATTTTTGATTTATATTGATTATTATTTATAAAGGATAAATTGAAAAAGTCAACCATTTTGAAAAAGTGAAAGTGTTTTTCTTATAAAAGTTTGCAAATAAATAATCTTTCTTCATAAAATCTTGGCCAAAATTTATTCAGCTATCTTTTTTACTAGTAAATAAAAATAACCCAAATTAGTTTATAATCAAAAATTAAAATTTTTCAATATTTGTTTTTAAATTTTTTTTTTCCATATTATTTATGGGTTTATTTTTGTTTGTTTTTTAAACCATACCTGTCCACCCTATCTGTCATATACTGGTGGGGGGGGGGGGGGAGATGAAGATTTTTTTTTTTATTAAAAATTTTAACACTGATTTTTTTTCCACCCATAAAAGGCTGTAAAATCAATCATTTTGCCTTCTCTCTGTGTGAGCTGTGATTGGTCACAGCTTGTCACATGGTAACAAGGCTTTTGTGAATAGCCCTGTACCATGTGACCCTCTGTGATCATTCACAGATTTCACACGTAGTAAGCAATGATGTCACAAGTGACATCTTGTTTACTACTATTCATATGATCACTGATTGCAAATGCTAAAAAAAGCGGCAAAATTGCTAATCCAACAAAAATGCTAAAATGCGAAAAACTCCGGTTTTCAACGTGACTTACACAGCTAATGTTACCAGCGTTATTAAAACGCCCCGTGTGCGTGGAGACTTAACAGAATCTTCTATTCCTCCTATCAGTTCACCTGGCGTTTTTTTGGACGATTTTTTGACAAAAAAAAAAAAATTTATTGGTAAAAAAAAAGGCTAAAAAACGCTAAAACCACAAACTCGGAAAAATGCAGGAAACGCAGGAAAATGCCGCTAATGTGGCAAAACAACCACTAAACGCTAATGCAAAAAACTACTAAAAAAAGCTGAAAAACTCCCGTTTTTAATATGTGACCAGTGTTATCAAAATGTCCCGTGTGCACGAGGACTAATGCTGAAAAAACTGAAAAAAGCTGATAAACGCTGCAAAAAGCTGATAAACGCAAAAACATTTGGCTATCCGGCATTTATGAGCGTTTTTGAGCCTGAAGATTTTTGTATGGGAGTATAATTTTGCTAAAAAAAATCAATAATTGCTGAAAGACCACTAAGAAACGCTGAAAAAAGCTAATGCGAAAAACGCTAAAAAAACACGACAAAACTCACGATTTTAATGCAGCATTCTACAGCTAGCTCTACTGTGTTTTTACTATAACATCCAGTGTGCATTGGGCCTGAAAATGATGTTTACATTCCTTGTGACAGCAATAAAAAGTGATTAAAAAAAATAAAATAAAAGTGACAGTGTAAAAAAAACTAAAAAAAATATAATATTAAAAAACAAAAATTAAAGTGCCCCTGCCCCCCTGTGTTCATGCACAAAGGCGAACGCACGCATCAGTCCCGCACACACGCAGCAATTTCTCCACACATGAGGTGTGTTATTAGGTGAGGTATCGCCCTGATCCTCAGACCACACATTCTAGTGCCAGACCTCTGCAAATCCAAAGTGGCAACCTGTAAAGGCTTTTAAAGGGTCACCTATGAATAGCAACATTTGTTGCCGTTTATCGCCGCTGCACTCATTTTTAACCACCTTCCGCCCGCCCTATAGTACAATGACGGGCGCAAGGTGGTTCTCAAAAGTCGTTCTGATAGGATGTCATATGACGTCCTTTCATTCTCACCGCGCGCATATGCGCGGCTCAGGGAGCGCGCACAGCGTGGCGATCGCCGGTGCGCTTTGTCCCTCGGACACAGCGAATCACGGAAAGAGCCGAAGATGTTGGGCTCAGTCATGTGATCAGCTGTGTCCAATCACAGCTGATCACATGTAAACACGGAAATGCCGGTTATCAGCATTTCTCTCCTCTCGAGCTGTCACACTGACAGAGGAGAGAAGCAGAGCCGGTATTCGGCTTTCCGCGGAGGGGACATGTACACTTTCAATCAGGGCACTGATGATCAGTGTGCCTTGAATGATCAGTGTGGCCCCAGAAGTGCCACCTGACAGTGCTTATCAGTGCCAAGTGCCAATGCAAATCAGTGCCACGTGCCAAGTGCCAATCAGTGCCACATCAATGCCACATATCAGTGCATATCAATGCCACATATCAGTGCCCATCTGAGCTGCCTTTTCAATGTCACCCATCAGTGCCAGTCAGTGCCACCTATCAATGCCAATCAGTGCCACCTATCAGTGCTTCCAATCAGTGCCAACTATCAGTACCAGTCAGTGTCGCCTATCAGTGTGCATCAGTGCCAATCAGTGCCACCAAACAGTGCCATTCAGTGCCGCCTAACAGTGCCAGTCAGTGCCGCCTAACAGTGCCAGTCAGTGCCGCCTATCAGTGCCATGTATCAGTGCTGCCTTTCAGTGCCCATCAGTGATGCTTGTCAATGCCCATCAGTGCAACCTACCAGTGCCTCCTCATGAGTACCACCTATCAGTGTCCATCAGTGCAGCCTATCAGTGCCCATCACTGCAGCCTCATTAGCGCACATCAGTGAAGGAGAAAAATCACTTATTTACAAATTGTATAACAAAAACTAAGAAAAAATGTTTTTTTTTTCAAAATTTTTCAGTGCTTTTTGGTTTGTTTTAAGAAAAAATAAAAATCCCACCAAAAGTACCACCAAAAAGAAAGCTTTATCTGTCTCAAAAAAATGATAAAAATGTCATATGGGTACATTGTTGCATGACCGCGCAATTGTCATTCAAAGTGTGACAGCGCTGAAAGCTGGAAATTGGCCTGGGCAGGAAGGGGGTATAAGTAACATTTCATTGAAGAGATGATGTGCAATAATACTTCACATTCCCAAAACTGATGCTTTGCTACTTCTGACCACTGGAGAGCAGACGTCACAAACTAATATGAAGTCCGTTACATCACACCTAAACTACCGCATGGCTGACTCCATTAGTTTCGTTAATTTATTTTGGATTCTTTGAAATTTGAAACTGCTGTGATTCAGAACTCAGATACATCCAAATCTCCGAATAATGAAAATTTTCACCTGAATTGCAATTCATAACGAAACGAAACGCATGTGTCTAGTGCTGACACAGCCTCAATAAACACCCCGAACGGCAGGTCCTTTGTGCTTAACCTGCATACAGTGGCGTCCTGAGGCAGGTGCGGGGGGTGCGCTCTGCATGGGGAAACACCGACCGCATGGGGTGACATCGGACGCGCTCCACAAAAAGGTAAGTCACCCCTCTCCCACGGCTCCACCACTGCTCTGACCTCCACTTCCACCCCACCCTACATTCCTCATACTGAAGCCCCCCCAACACTCCGCACCTTTGACCTTACTACCATCGAGGAAGTCTCCAAGATCCTCTCTGATGCCCACCTCACCACCTGCCCCCTCGACCCTATCCCCTCACAACTCCTACGACCTCCCTCCCCCTCCTTCCTACGCTCCCTTAACCCACATCCTTAATCTCTCCCTCTCTCTCCGGCAATTTCCCCTCCCCTCTGAAAAATGCGCACATCTCCCCCATACTTAAAAAGCCCTCCCTGGACCCCAATGACCCGAACAACCTCAGACCCATCTCCCTGCTCCCATTTACATCTAAACTCCTCCAGCGTCTAGTCTGCACCCGCCTAAGCTCTCACCTCAACGACAACAACCTCCTCGATCCCCTATAGTCCGGCTTCCATCCCCTACACTCCACTGAAACTGCCTTACTCAAACTCACCAACGACCTGCTAACCGCCAAAGCTAATGGCCGCTATTCGGTGCTCCTACTCCTTGACCTCTCTGCGGCCTTCGACACAGTCGACCACCCCCCCCTCCTCAAAAAAACTACACTCCCTCGGCCTCAGAGTTTCTGCTCTCTCCTGGCTCTCATCCTACCTGTCACAACGCTCTTTCAGCGTTACCTATAATGCTACCACCTCCCCCTCACTCCCCCTCTCTATTGGGGTCCCTCAAGGCTCTGTCCTCGGGCCCCTTCTCTTCTCCATCTACACCTCCTCCCTTGGCCAACACATACACTCTCATGGCTTCAACTACCACCTCTATGCCGACGACACACAAATCTATCTCTCAACCCCCCACCTCACCCCCTCGGTCTCCGTCCGAATCACACACCTACTGAGCGACATATCAGACTGTCACTCCACTTCCTTAAACTGAACCTCTCCAAAACCGAGTTTCTTGTCTTCCCCCCAGCCCGGACCCCACCCCCCATTGACTTCTCCATCACATCCAACAACGCCACCATCAAACCCGCCCCGCAGGCCAGAGTACTTGGTGTCATTCTGGACTCCAACCTATCCTTCCAGCCCCAAGTCCAATCTTTAACAAACTCGTGCAGACTCCACCTGTCAGGGATCTCCTCGATCCCTGCCGCGATGGTCCCGGCGCAGGCGCAGTGCACCGCCCTGTGCAGGGACACGGGCACTAGGTCCGGGCCGGCCGCGGCGTTCGAGTTCGCGCATGCGCAGTAGAAGCCGCGGCCGCCCGCTGGGCACCAATGGCAGCGCAGGGCGGGATATTTAAATGGCCCTGAGCTGTCATTCAGTGCCTTCTGGTCTTCCCTGCATCCTGTGAACCTGTGATCCTGTGCCCCTTGTAAGTTTTGACCCGGATTGTACCTGACCTTGCTGCTTTCTCCTGCTCTGACCCTTGCTTTGCCTGACCTCTCTCCTGAATGCCCCCTATTGGATTTGACCTGCTGTTGCTGACCTGGCGTGTGACCCGACCATTCTATGCCCGCTGCCTTGTACCTTGCCGTCCTCTCTGTTACCGACCCGGCCCGTCTGACCTTGCTCATCCATCCATCCATCCCTTGCAGCGGGGTCTTCTGACCTCCTCACATCAGACTCTTCCCCGTGGGAGCCCCTTGCGCATACTACTACCACTGACGGGCGCACCCAGTAGTCACGACCTGGTCTCAGGGAGCTCCAAGTCCATCCCCACCATCAGGGGCCCTGGTGAACAAGCACCCTGGGACTTAGACTCCGTGCGCTGGGGACGCCTATTCAGTGGAGTGCTAGTAGTACCCCGGGCGGTCCCTTACACCACCTCCGCAACATCGCCAAAATCCGCCCGTTCCTAACCCCAGAAACCACTAAACAGCTCATCCACTCCCTCATCATATCACGACTCGACTACTGCAACTCCCTCCTCACTGGCCTGCCTCGCCACTGGCTATCCCCGCTTCAGTCGATCCTGAATACGGCTGCCAGACTCATTCACCTTTCCAACCGCTCCATCTCCGCCACCCCCCCTCTGCCAATCCCTCCACTGGCTTCCGAATGCCCAGCGGATCAAATTCAAAATCCTAACACTGACGTACAAAGCTGTCCACCATACTGCCCCATACTACATCACTGACCTAATATCCAAGTACCACCCAACACGCACACTCCGCTCCTCACAAGACCTCCTTCTCTCTAGTTCCCTGGTCTCCTCCTCCCATGCCCGCCTCCAGGACTTCTCCAGGGTGTCACCCATCCTCTGGAACTCCCTGCCCCAACCCATCAGATTATCACCTACTCTCCTCTCCTTTAGGTGCACCCTGAAAACCCATCTCTTCAGGGAAGCCTACCCCACCCCCTGCTAACTTTCCGACCTCCTCCACTCTTCCTACCACTCCATCCCCCACAGCTATCTCCTCCTGTGCCACCATCCCCTCCCTCCTAGATTGTAAGCTCGAAAGAGCAGGGCCCTCGATCCCCTCATGTTTTGCATTGTATTGTTATTGTTCTGTCACATGTTCTGTCCCCCTTTGTAATGTACAGTGCTGAGCAAACTATTGGCGCTTTATAAATACTGTATAATAATAATAATAAATAATAATAATAATAAAGAAAGCCGACGATCCCCGCAGGATGGATCAGATCCTTCCTGCGGGGATCGTCGGCTTTCTTTACAACCTACCTTTTCATGGAGTGGGTCCGGTGTCACCCCGTGTCATGTAAGGAAAAATGTCACCAGCACACCGAGAATCACCAATATGGGTCCAAAGGTTTTATTGAATGATCACATAATTACAGCAAGGCAACGTTTCGAAGTCTCACAGGACCCCTTCATCAGGCATGTGGTCCAGCCGACGGTCGCTGCAGCACTCACTTATACACACAGCCATTTTTAACGCAGGAACGTGTGCGTTTGGATTGTACACTTGCACCCCGTGTCATGATTCACACGACTGTCATATGCTTTTAAGTGTTCTCTGTATTTTGTCTCTGCTCCTCCCTTTCCTTTGGTTTAGTTCTTGCTGTGAAGATAGCCCACCCCTTTTTCCCAGTAATGCACTTCAGCTTCTAGCCTCATATCTTATGGAAGTAGATCACATTATGATCTTTTGACCTATCCGATGTTCATTGTTGTAAGATTCTCTAAGTTTATGGAATAAACTTCACAAGATCTACAAGGTGTCCTCCGATTGAGTCACTGCCTGTGTTATTCAACTAAGATTGGAGTTATCGCTATCTCATCACAACTTTAAGTTACAGAGATCACACTTTCAATGCTTAGATTGGAGAGACAGAACACCCCGTATAGGTTGCATGCCGACGATCCCCACAGGATGGATCAGATCTGTGGATTGGGGAGCATAATGGATCGGAGTCCGATCCATTATGCTCAATCCGCAGATCCAATCCATTCTGCGGGGATCTTCGGAGGGGTGTCACCAAGTGTTACCGTACCGGGTGACACCAACCCTAGGGACGCCCCTGCCTGCATATGCAGCACAGGGGCTAAATGGTTAGCATTTCAGCCTGGCAGTACTAGGGTTGTTGGTTCCCAACCCAACCACGGCACCACCTGCCTGGAGTTTGCATGTTCTCCCTGTGCCTGCGTGAGTTTCCTTCGGGTACTCCGGTTCCCTCCCACACTCCAAAAACATGCTGGTAGGTGAATTGGCTCCTGTCTAAATTGTCCCTAGTATGTGTATGTATGAATGTGAGTTAGGGACCTTAAATTGTACGCCCCGAGAGGGTTAGGGACTGATGTGAATGTACAATATATGTGTAAAGCGCTGCGTAAATTGACAGCGCTATATAAGTACCTGAAATAAATAAAAAAAAAATAAAACATGCTCTCTCCCTGCACTCCTGTTCATTACAGTTAGCTTCTTTTGGCTCTCAATGCCAAAAAAATAATTGTTGTGGCAAGTAAGCTTCGTGAATGAACCTGTGTCCTTGTAAATGTGTATCATTGTCTCAGGAGGAGACAGAATCCCAGTGTGTGAGCTTCCAAAGATAACGTATTCATTATAAATTGGGGAAATGTAACATATTTAACAAAAATCAATCGAATCTCTCTAATAAATAATTATTCTGGAAAAAGACATTTCCAGGGAGCTGCGATC